CCACTCCTCCACATTTGGGAGTAGTGCGAGAGTTCTATCGTACGGCGAAGTGCAAAGATGTATAAGAGAGCTGGCTGAATTGTCATGCCTACTTTGGCAATTCGAATCAATTAGATTATAGTAGATTACGTCAGATAACGTTTATCCTAGAAGAAAAACACTTAAAATCTTTTTCACCTGGAATCATGAAAATTATGAGGTCCGGATCTTTCTCTCGTAGCCCTTTGAACTCAAGAAGCTCTTCGTCTTTCTTTTTTTCATTATTTGTGTGTCCTTAATGGAATTCGGTACTACCCGGAAAATAAACCAAAGAGGCCGGTCAAGTTTGAGATGCATGGGAAATGGGTGAAGCTGTGCATGAGCTGAGCGGTTCCCTACAAAGTACTACAGTCAAGGTTTTTCTTTGGAAGCTCATTTTTGCTAAAGGACCGTTTCTTACTGCTTGCAAAGTGCCTTTTTTCTTGCCCTGCTGTTATAGTAGTTCAAACATTGTTTTTCAGAAGCAATCGTGGCTGACGCATCGCATTTGGCTCATCATCAATGCTAGAAGGAAGTGTCTTCGACTGTTGAGGTTTGTATAGGTGTATGTGCCACTGAGGAAAGTGGTGGTGTCAGTATGACTCCACTAACCCTCCCCTCACTCCCCGAAAGGGTATCGGTAGTCTCTCCCCTGTCCTTAATACCTATGAGTTCAAACCGAAGAGGGGTAGTTTTAGATGAATTAGAAGGCGAAGTGAATTAGTGACAGGTGCATCGCTACCGCACGCATAGTCCCTGGATCGAATTCTGAGCCCAGTTCTCTTATAGTTAGCCTACTCCTCCAAAACCTACTAGAGCTCCTACTTCTTCAAGACCGTTTGAAAATTTTTACCAGGTCTTATAAGGCGAATCGGGAGCTTCGCTAACCCTGCTTCTCATAGTGCAATAAAACTACGCATGTACCGATGGATATTTGATTGGTGCTTCCTCAGAGAAGGATTGGTTGTCGTTTATTTTCTTCACCAGTTTTGCTCCGCCCGCTGTCGCGCGCATCA